TTCTCTTGGGAGTGAGAACTAGAGAAGAAGAGGTTGCCTGTATCATTTCAAATTTTTTTTTATATTGGGAACTGTTAGATGCCAAGAAGTAGTATGTCACATGCTAGAACATACGGAATATCTATTCCCCCGCCTCCTTTTTTTTTCCAAGAGAGAGATCTCCATATTGCTTTCCTTAGAGATTGAACCAAACAGCATCCCTACTAAAGGTGGATGAGAGTCCCTTTCTCACCTTCACCATGCCAACACTTAGCCTGACTTTAAATTAACCTATATATATATATATAAAATAAATGTAGTTTATACAAATACATAAAATTATGCCATGTAAATATATAACTATAATACCACATAATATAAACTATACTATGAAGCTAAAGAAATTAAGGTGGTATGGTACTAGAATAAATACAGACTCTCAGAGCAATGGCATAGAATTATTGCCTTGAATTAGACCTTTAGACTTATGGACAGTTACTCTGTGACAAAGGAGAAAGGGTGCATGACATGAGACAAGTAAAGCCTCTTCAATAAATGGTATTGGGAAAACTTGAATAGCCATATGCAAAAATATAAAACTGGATCCATATCTCACAAAAACTGATCCAAAATGGATTAAATACCTCTAGATTAGACCAAAATCAAAGACAAGCTGAGAAAAACAGGCAGAACTCTCTAAGATATGGACTTCCAAAGTGAACTCCATCAAACTTAATAGTCTTCATTGTATAAATCTTTCATATTCTTTGTTAAGATATTTGGATTTTTCACACCCTTGGTTAAGGCACTAGATTACTTTTGAACACTTTTTTTTTTTTTATCATTTTGGGTCACACTCAGCTATGCTCACGGGTTACTCCTGGCTCTGCACTCAGGAATTACTCCTGGCGGTGCTCAGGGGACATATAGGATGCTGAGGGTTGAACCCAGATCAACTGCATGCAAGGCAAACACCCTACTGGCTTGTACTTTCGCTCCAGCCCCTTTTGATTTCTCTTCTAGGAAACTCGTATTTTTGTTTGTCTGGGCCACACCCACCTGTGCTCAGGACCTTTTCCTGGCTGTGCTCAGGGGGCACTCCTTGTGGGCTTGGGGTTCCATATGGAGTGCTGTGCATCAAACCTGGGTCTGCCCAGTGCAAGGAAATTGCCCTATCCTCTGTACTATTTCTCCAGCCCCTGGAACTTGAATTTTTAACTAATATATTTGAAGAAAAGAGACTGGGAAGAAGGAAGAATTGGTTACTGAGAGTTCCCTCTGCATAGCATAGCTGCTCTCATATTTTACATAGAATCCTCACACTAGCCTTTACACAGGTTCTAGGCACCCCTCTTTATTCTTCAGTAAAACAAGTTCAGAGAGATGAAAACTTTTGTGTGTAATCATACAGACCAAACAGAAACAGTATTTAGATTCAATAGTGTCTAATTCCAAAACCCAAGAGTGCCAGGAATACTGTCTGATTTAAGGAACTTCAGTTGCCACAGGCACTCAGTATTAAAACTCAACCCTCTTTTTTTGGGGGGGGGTGCTGAGGAGGGGATCCTAAGAGTGCTTAGGGGCCATACCCATTAACTGCCCGCTGTGCAGTGCCTGGGCCCAGAGTTTCTGTGGTGCTACAATACAGGGGGATGGAGTGGGCGTGGGTGGCAGTGAGCAGAGCTGTGTGCTCCGAGGGAGTGTAGGACCCCTTCCCGGAAAGTATGCTCTCCAGACCCAGAACCTTTCCATTTGGGTTTTTTTTGTTTGTTTGTTTGTTTGTTTGTTTGTTTTGTTTTGGGGCCACACTAGGCTGTACTCAGGGCTTATTCCTGGTTCTGTGCTCTGGGCTCACTCTGGCATACGGGGTGCTGGGGATCGATCCTGGGTCAGCCATGTGCAAGGCAAGTGCCCTACCCACTGCACTCCAGTCCCCAGAACCCTTCCTTTTTGAGGCAACCCACCCTGACCTGATAACTTTCTGGTTTTCGTGTTACATATTTTTGGGAAGCAGATAGGTAACAGCTGATTCTTTGAATACTGACCATTCAGTGTTGTTTTGCTATCGTGTTGATGAGAAAACAGATTAATTTCTAGCCATGGCTGCTGTGTGGAAGAACTTGTACATTCTTACATGGGTTTTCTCTGGTTACTCTGATTTCCTCCCACATCAAGAGGATGGTACATCTAGATCATTCCAGTTCGAGTGAGTACAGTCGTGTGTGACTGTACCCTCCAATGGAAGGGGGACAGGTGTCTGTATGTTACTGCACCCTCTGATGGAAGGATGAACAGGCATGTATATGACTGCACCCTCCGATGGAACGGAGGTGTCCTGTCAGGATTGGGTGCTGCTTTGTGCCTTGGCCTCAGTTGCCCATGATCCAGCTCTGAAATAGGTTGGTAATAGATGGATGAGTGGAAAATATTGTTTACTATTAGAAGTATATGGGGTCTTTATTTAGAGTGTTAGTGAGATTTTCGTGAGTAAAAATATGCCATGGGAACTTAACAGTTTTTGTTGTTGTTTTCTTTTTGCACTTGCTTCTGGGTCACACCTGGCAGTGCTCTGGGGTTATTCCTGCCTCTGCACTCAGGAATCACTCCTACCAGTGCCCTGGATCAAATCCTGGTCAGCCTTGTGCAAGACAAGTGCCCTACTTGCTGTACTGTCTCTGCAGCCTCAAGGAACTTAACTTTTATTTATATCAGTTAGCTAATAGTAAAATCGGTCTTTCCCATAATGTAAAATTCTGCTATACATTATTTTACTTTACCTAAGAACCCAGTGTTAATGATTGAGGATGTACTCGGGTATGTTACAGCGAAATTTACTGTCACAGGCTCCCATGATTCTCTGCCAGACACTCCCCTCAGTGACCATCACAAAGGTTTTTCAGAAATACCAGCCTAACCACATCTTGCTCCCTGCATTCTCTCTTACCCTCTGGCTCTTCTGCTTACACTAGCATCCAAATGCTCCGTGATCTGGGCACAGGACCTCTCCAGTCTCGTCTCTGACTACCCTTCCCACATCCACTTGCTCCGTGATTCAGCCACATTCAACCTCTTAGAAATTCTCACAGGGTATGTGTGTGAGAGAGGGGTGAGAGTGGGGGCGGGGACAGGGGGAAGCTCCGTACTTTTAGCTTGAAGAGTCTCTGTACATAGTTCATTCAGCCTGGGGCATCTTTTCCTGCCTGTGTAAATTCTGTTCCTTCCTTAAGACTGAGTTCAGAGTCTTTTTTTTCTTTTCTTTTTGGGTCACACCCAGCAATTCTCAGGGGTTACTCGTGGCTTTGCACTCAGGAATTCCTCCTGGGAGTGCTCAGGTGACCATAGGGGATGCTGGGAATTGAACCCGGGTTGGCCACGTGCAAGGCAAATGCTCTACCCTCTGTGCTGTTGCTCCAGCGCTCTGAGTTCAGAGTCTTAAGAGTCTTCAGAAGGCCTTGCCAAGTGCCCGAGCCCTTGGCAATTGTGCATCGCTGATTCTTCTCTCTGCTCCCGGGCTAGGTGCTTCGTCAGTAGTCGTGGTAAGAGTTTTAGTAATGAGGGGGCACCATTTGGGAGCTGATACTGATTAGAGAATGCTTTTCAATTAAGAAATAGCTATGTAACAGCTTCCTTTTGTGGAGTCACCTGTGTGGGAAATCAAGGGTCAGGGACCTCTATAGACTACTTCTGTGGGAAGCAACTAGTGAGAGTAAATGGATTATTAAAAACAAAAGTTCATTCTCATTATCCTAGAAATTAGACTTGTACAGCCTTCAAATAAAGCAATTTTGGTTAAAAATAGAAATATTATGGGGCCAAAATGACAGTACAACGGGTAGGGCATTTGCATTGCATTGACTGACCTAGGTTTGATTCCCAGCCTCCCATTTGGTCCCCCAAGCACCACTAGGAGTAATTCCTGAGTGTAGAGCCAGGAGTAACCCCTGAGTATTGCCAGCTGTGACCCAAAAAGCAAAAAAGAAAAAAAAAAGAAAGAAAGAAAGAAAAAAAGAAATATTCTATGTATTTCCCCCAGAAATTCCTAAAGCCTGTAGAGGCTTCATCTTGATGATGTGTTTTTGTTTGGTTCGGGGCCACATCAGGCAGTTCTCAGTTTACCACAGCTCTGCTTTGGGCTGTTCCTGCACTTTTCAGGGGACCATGCGGCACTGAGGATTGGACCTGGGCCTCTTGTGTGTAATGCATGTGCTCCAAGGGGCCGGAGAGGAGAGAGAGGATAGGATGGTACAGTGGGTAGGGCACTTACCTTGCACACAACTGACCCAAGTTTGATCCTCAGCATCGAATACAGTACTCCAAGTACCTCCAGGAGTGATTTCTTTTCTTTTCTTTTCTTTTCTTTTCTTTTCTTTTCTTTTCTTTTCTTTTCTTAGTGTGTGTGTGTACGTGTGTGTGTGTGTGTGTGTGTGTGTGTGTGTGTGTGTATGCGTATGCGTGCTTTTTGGGTCACACCCGGCGATTCACAGGGGTTACTCCTGGCTCTGCACTCAGGAATTCCTCCTGGCAGTGCTCAGGGGACCATATGGGATGCTGGGAATTGAACCGGGTCGGCCGCATGCAAGGCAAACTCCCTACCCGCTGTGCTCCAGCCCCCCAGGAATGCTGTTGCTTCAGCCTCCCCAGCACAGAGTAATCCCTGAGCATTGCCAGGTGTAGCTGCAAAACAATAAAACGGCAAGAGAAGCACTTGCACTAGCCTGCTGAGCTCTCTTCAACCCTAGTGGGATTTTTTTATCTCTGGGGCTATTTTTGATGTCCCCTTCATTGAGTTTATTGATCATGTATGGTTTGTGCAGTGCATTTCCAGTATTTGGAGAGACCCAGAAGGATCTCATGCCTATCAGGTAGCCTGGAATCATGGAAAGGGAAAAAATTAAAATAAGAGAAAGAGTATGTGCTTTAATCTTCATGTCACCGGTTGCTCCTTGTGGCTTGGACCAGATGTCTCTTTAGCCTCGTTTGCGTGAGCTTGCTTTGACTGTCTGGCTTATGTTTCCTTCTAGCAATCAGAGAAGATGGCATGCCTGGAGGCAGGAATAAGAGCATTGGGCCTGTCCAGGTGAGTTCTAGGCTTCACGCTTTGGGATCCATCCAGGATTTCTAGACGCTTCTTTTGCTGTTCACCTCGATCCTCTTGTCTGCTGTTTGGGGAGCCGTCTTTGCTTTCATTTCTGTGAAACTGCTCTTAAAGCCTACACATGAGGGGTCAGAGAGACAGTACGGTGTGTAAGGTGCTGACCTTGCACACAGTTTACACTGGTTCTACCCCCAGCACCTTCTGTGGCCCCCTGGGTCCTGCCTGGAGTGATCCCTGAGCATAGAACCTACCGGGCCCTGAGCACCACTGGGTGTGGCCCCCAAAACCTAAAGAAGTGTATGAGGCCTGCACATGAAAGTGGTTTTTATAAAAATGTTAAATGCATAAAATAATTTCTAAAACTTTTTAAAACTTATATTGTGATGGATTTCACAAATAAAGAAAATCAACTCTAGTTCGGAATCAGCCAGAGGATTGGGCAGGGCTGGGGGGTGGGCAGAGCCAGTCACTTGAAATTGTGGATAACTTCGCAAACATTTCAAGACTATTTTGCTGTTAGATACAGCTAAGATTTACTAGCAGAAACTTTATTGACTCATTTATAGGGTAGGGATGATGATAATGCTCATTTAAACCCGTCCTGTATTGTGAATTGAGTCTAATGGGAAGGACAGACCAAGAAACTAATCTCATCATATAGTTAGACATAATGGTATTCTATCCAGGGAGTGCAGAAAGGAGGGACTAAGCGTTATGCTTGGCTGGAGTAACGGTTCGGGATTGAAGATACACCAGGAAAGCATTCTAGAAAATGTAGTTTGTCCTGAACCTTGACGAGAAAGGAGTTAGCTGTGTTACAGGAAAAGTGGGGGCAGACAGCTTTCACTCCTGCTAGGAGTAAAAAGACCTGTAAAAGGACTGTAAAAACACCCAGAGGTGAGTCTATAAGGAATAGCGGGTGCCCCCCAAATGCCAAACTATCTCCGAAGGCTCTGACTGAAAGCCCTCAGCTAGTGGAGACAGCAAGGCTGGACCAGACTTGACAGGCCCAGCAGTCAGGAGCCAAGGTCGGACCACACCCCTCCCTCTCTCTATGGCAGAGGACAGAATGAGCCCGAAGTGCTTGGATCTGGTTTCCAATCTCATCCGTCATTCCTAGCTGGGTACTTCCTGCTGGGAAACCCTTAAGCATCTTCTGGGCCCAGTTCTTCTAGAAGTGTTTATTCACTCCCTATATGGTATAGTCATTGGGCCACAGAATTTAACTCTTGGTTACTTGGGTCTCTTCCTCAGACTCAAGCCCAGACGTGGCACATAATGTGATAGTAGGCCAGTCCATTGTCTGAGCTACAGTATCAATGCATTAATTGATTGATTAATTCAGTAATTGGTTCAATTAAATATTCATTAGACTGAGGAACATCTTTCTCACTAGGAAGATCTACAGGAAGGTACATCATTAGCACTTAAGTGAACGTTTGTTTTATCACCCTACGTGCATTTTTCAGTACTTTTTAAAATACTATCATAGCTCTAGGTTGTGTGGTTGATATTTTTTTATCATCCATTATCATAAGAGCTCTTAAAAACAGTAGTAATAAAGTTATCTGTCCGCTTTCTGTAATTGGTACATAATAGGACTTTCTCTAAATATGTGGTAATGTATCAATTTATTTTTCTTTCAACTGTCGATATTTTATTTTTAACAATAGCTTATTTCCCCCCTCCTTCCGTTTGTTGCTGCTGTCACAGTGATGTCTAGAGGTCACACACTTGGTGGTGGTACCCATTGGGGTTGCCCATCTGGGTTGTGGTACTCCCACAGTCAGCCCCAGAGAGTAGGTTCGTCGTATACTCTGGCTGACATGCCTGCATATATGCGTGTCAGAGGTTTAATCTAGTTGGGATGCTTGCTCACCTTCCCGGCGGTTGTGCTTGTGTGTAGATCTCCACACGTGTCCTTGCCAGGAATCACACACCCCGGCCTGTCACACATATCGAGTTTCACGCTCTGTTGTGACCGTGCTGACTCCAGACAGCAGTGCTGCGGGAACTGTCATAGGAACTTGCTGTTGTGAGCAGCACCAGGGCTCACGACTCAAGACTTGATGCTTGCAGGTGCCTGCAGCCACTGAGTCATCTTTTAGGCCCCACCTAGTGGCTGAAGTACCAGAAATAATTAATTACGGAACTTAGTATTAAATAGTTACAGTTGATTTGCCCAAGATTGTACAAGAAAGTCACCTGACTGTAGAATTCATATGCTTACCAATTATGTTATTCTGCCTCAGAATATACAGGATCGGGAGTGCATAGGACTGAAAATCCTGTCCAGTAATAATACAAGGGCTCACATGAAAGACAGCATTTGAGCTGAGTCTCTTGGGGCCACGCCAGCAGTATTCAGTATTCAGCAGTATTAACCCCATCTCTGTTCTCAGGGATCACTTCTGGCAGGCTTGGGGGGGCTATCTGGGGTACCCAGGATTAAACCTGCTTTGACCGTGTGTGAGGCAAATGCCCTACCCACTGTACTGCCTCTCCAGCCCTCCCTGGACTCAGTCTTAAAGGACTAGTAATAAGTTTGTTATTAAAGAGTTGTTGGGCCAAGAGAGAGTACACGGGTTAAGGCTTGCTTGCACATCGCTAACCCCAGTTCAATCCCGAGCACCAATATGGTCACCCAAGCACTACCAGGAGTGATCCCTGCACGTCAGGTGTGGCCCAAAGCAAAACAAAAAGTAGTGTTGTTTCAAGGGTAGGAATATATTCAAGGTCAGAGGGGGCTGTTGAAGGACCTACAGGCCTTCTGACGAGAGAGTAGGGGTCAGTAAGTTAGGACAAGGCCTGGAGTGTGGAGAGAGAGATTCAGGAACAAGAGTTTCTCTCTGAAGCTGAAGCAGAGGGTATCCTGTGGATCCAGTCTAATGTATTGATTCCTTCTCAAAGATATCCGAGGAAGAGATTGAGAGGATCATGTCTGGGCAGGAATTCGAGGAGGAGGCCAATCACTGGAGCAACCCTGGTGACAGCGATCACAGTTCGCCTGGGAACAGAGCTTCAGAGAGCAACCAGCCCTCTCCCGGCTCCACCCTGTCCTCCAGGTGAGCTCCAAGGGGGAGATCTTGGGGCTGAATGTGCCTGCCAGTCCCTCTCAGCCACGGTGCTCTTGCTCCCTCAGCCTTAGGAGTCAGACCCCGGATGATGGAAAGCACATTGCCCAGCCCATTTCTTGCTGAAGACCTTGAAAATGTCAGCAGTCTCTTGTGCAGACTGATAAATGCTATAGATGCTATCTGTGCCCGTTCATTCTTCACCTAAGAGAATACTCGAATTAGCACTTTCGTCTTGTTTACTTTTACCACATGACAATATTGAACCATCATGTCTTCATATCAGGAAGATTTTTGTTTTGTAAATTTCAGGAAACAAAACTTTCTGTTTGTCAGATTTGCTACTAGTTTGGAAACACTAGTGACTCAAGAATCTTGATTGCTTCGTGTGAATTAGTTATTAGCTACCAAGAAAAATCTCTTCTCCCCAGAATATTTCTTATATAATCAGAATCAACAAACTTTGTGTAAGGCCAGATGGTAAATATTTGAGGCTACAGCTCATCTAGTCTAGTTTCCACTACTCCGCTCTGGCATTGTAGTTTGAAAGCCATAGACAGTATAGAAATGAATGACTGTAACTATTCCAGGAAATTTTTTATTTGTTTGGCTTTTTTGGTTTATTTTGGGGCCACACCCGGAGATGCTCAGGAATTACTCCTGGCACTGCTCAGAGGAACATCTGGGGATCGAGCCTGGGTCAGCCATATGTTAAGGCAAGAGCCCTCCCCACTGTACTATGGCTTCAGCCCCCATTAAACCTCCTTACCAAATCAGACCTTGAGCCAGTTTACCTCCTTCTCTAATAGATGGATCTGGGTGAAACTTCAGGGGGATTTTTTAAACTGATGGACAGAGTGGTAAGAGTTTTCCCAGAAATAAAGGAAGAAGATCAGATTCTGTTTTTTCTTGATATTGCAACCTTCATTCATTTACTTGTTCCTTTATTCTTCACTTAAATACAGGAGTTGCTGCCATGTACTCCTCTATAGCTAATAGATTTGTTCTATTATCTTCATAGCTAATAGATAACCTGTTAATTGCCTCCTAGCACTACAGGGTCCAAACACCCACCTCTGTAATCGTATTCCATGAGTTTCCATTAAAAACGCTCCTTGGTGATACCTGTACAAAGAAACCATTCAGCCAGTATGTGTCCAGTACCGGCTCTGCCCAGTGCTAGGTGTCCAGTGATAAGTGACGCACACAGTTCCTGCCCAGTGAGGGAGACGTGTGTGGAACCATTCCTGAGACTGCTTCCTGTGAGGGCAGCCGTCCTGGGGGGATCCTGCTTGACCCGAGACTCTCTTTCCCCAGTAGGTCGGTGGAGCTCAATGGATTCATGGCCTTCAGGGAACAGTACATGGGGGTGTCTGTCCCGCCACACTATCAGTATATACCGCACCTTTTTAGCTACTCTGCCCACTCGCCACTGCTGCCCCCCCAAGCTCGCAGTCTGGACCCCCAGTCTTACAGCCTGATTCACCAGCTGGTGTCGGCCGAGGATCTGGAGCCGCTGGGCACACCGATGCTGATCGAGGATGGGTGAGTGGGAGTCCTGCCACCTGCCCGCCCCGCCCGCCTCACTCCTGCACCCCGGGCTTCAGGACAAGCTGGCGGCTAATGAGTGCGTGAGGAGAACAAATCTCAGAGATCAGTTTAATACTTAGCCTGGGAAGTCATGTGTCATCATTATGTTCTTGAGCAGCTTTTCTCTCAGAGGTGTGGGGTTGTTTGTCAGTCCCCGTCGAATCGGGATTAAAGGTTTTTGTTCCTGCGTGGGCCTAGGTAAGCCAGGCCGTGGGATGGGTCTGAACACTGTGCACCAGAGATAAGCTGTAAGTGTGGGGATAACCCATCGGGTTAGCTCCTCAGCAAGGTACACGAGGCCCTCACCGGTCATGGCCCTCCTGCTTCCTAGCAACAGGCCTTCGGAGAGGCGCCCTGCGTTTTCTGCTCCGCCTGCTAGCCCAGTGGGTGGGAGGAATAGCAGTCCTCTGGCGTTCCCTGAGTAGATAATAGTTCGGCCTTTTGGCCTACCTGTTGCTGTATCAGTTATTCCTTTGGCCTGGAGCACGGCTTGCATGTTACCACAACTTAATGCCCCTACTCCCCCCTCCCTCCCAAAAAAGCATCCGGCAATTTCTAAAGTTAGTTTCCTGTTTCAGAAGTGAAAATTTAAATATCTTCCAGAAGACCAGACAAAATCTTAATTAGTCCAGGCATGGGGTGGTGGTGAAGATACGTGCCTTCAGGCCTTGACAATAAATCATGGAGACCCCCCCGCCCCTCACATCCATTTGAGAAATGCTTGACTCTCCCTCTCAGCAGCAGCTAAGACCCGAGCAAGCCTGAGTCCTGATCTCTGCCCACCAGGGGGTGCAGTGAGAGCAGGAAACGCTTCCGAGCAGGTTCTCCTGGCCGGCTGGCCCTGAGGCTCAGTATAGTGGCCGCCCCAGTGGCCAGTGGGGCCGAAGCCACACTCTAATGCCGGAGTGAGCGGTAATTTTCTGGAAGGAATAGAACACTGGCCACCGGCACTCAAAGCCCTGCTCCCTGGTGGGTGCCCAGACTGCTAAGCTTCCTCTCCTCTCTGCATCCTTCTCTCATCCCCACCTCTCCAGAGATTGCGGCTGGCCCAGACCTGCCCCCTTATCATTAGGCTAAAGTGAGAGCTGGAGGTACTTGTCCCAGGGCAAGGAGCACACTGCCAGCCCTCTGTGCCCTCGGGAGTGTCCTCTCCCGGTGCCCTCTTCTCTGGCCAGCGGAAGTGACTTTTCCCTTTCCTTCCCCAGATATGCTGTGACCCAGGCCGAGCTGTTTGCCCTGCTCTGCCGCCTGGCTGACGAGCTGCTCTTTAGGCAAATTGCCTGGATCAAGAAACTGCCTTTCTTCTGTGAGCTCTCAATCAAAGATTACACGTGCCTGCTGAGCTCCACGTGGCAGGAGTTAATCCTGCTGTCCTCCCTCACTGTCTATAGCAAGCAGATCTTTGGGGAGCTGGCCGACGTCACTGCCAAGTACTCGCCTTCCGATGAAGAGCTGCACAGGTAAGGGTTGCTTGTCAGGGGATGAACCCTGCGCCCTGCTTCATCCCTGCAGGGCAGGTGAGCACAGGAAAGCCCCCCAGGGCTCTCTGTGACTTCACCCACTGGCTCTGCCAATCCAGTCAGTTATTTGATCGTCAGATTCTGCATTTATTCTGGATTCCCCCGGAAGTTTTTGGCAAGTGATAGTATCATTCACCAAAGCATAGGGTGCTAAGAAGTTCATAAGATCACAGCTGGATTATGGAAGTAAAATAGCATTTCTGAGAAAGCAGAAACACTTTGCCTCCAGGGTGAAGTTCTGAGCTGTTGTTCCCAGCCCAGCGATCATACTCAGGAGTATGTAGGCCGCTGATTGGCTATTTCTTCCTATCCTCTCATTTCTCACGGTCTTGAACATATTGTAGGTGATATTCAACTGATTTCATAGATGAGAAATTAAATTTCAGGCAGACTTATTCTTGAGGTTTTCAGGTTGGAGCTAGAGTTGCATTGGAACTTTTGCTTGCCCAACTGGAAGCTATAAGCTCTCTTTCTGGGGTTGGAGGGAGGGATGTGGGAGTGCGGGATGGGGTCACAGTGATGCTTGGGTGCTGTTCTGGTGTTTGAGACCCTGAGTGCTGGGCACTGAGCTCCAGTCTGGAGCCACCTCTCAGGTGCAGCCGCAGCTTAGGCATTTGGGCTCCATCTGGAGACTTAGAGCACACAGTAACACCCCCAAATCAGGATGGATGATCTGTTGATATAACTGTCTTGGCTTATTATTTTATATAATTTCATACATAAGAAAAATGTTGTTTGGGCTGGAGCAATAACACAGTGGGTAGGGCATTTGCCTTGCACATAAGCCAACCCGGGTTCAATTCCCAGCATCCCATAAGCACCACCAGGAGTAATTCCTGAGTGCACAGCCAGGAGGAACCCCTGTGCATCTCCAGGTGTGACCCCCCCAAAAAAAAAAGTCACATTCAAGTAGGCTTTTCAATAATTCACCTTTGTTGGACACTTTAAGCACCAAGAAGAGAGAAGAACGGAGCCCCTTCTTTTTTTTCATGAGGACAGGGGTGCACCCTCCTTCTTCCAGGACACTGGAGCATAAAGAGAAGCCATGAATTCAGCTGGGGCTGAACTCCAGAACGACCCTCAAGCACTGGGCTGATGGAGGGGTGGATGTGGGCACTGGCTCCCGGGTTGTTTGCTGATATTTTCTCATCCATGAGCTTACTTGCTGCAGGGTGATCTGTAAATAACAGTTTTGAACCCAGCTGACACTTGATCCTGCACACAGAGTTCATCTGATCTTGCAGATGACCTTCCCCCTTGTCGCCATCAGTGTCAGCGTGACTGTGGGCTCCGCTCTGGTCAGGGCACTGGGTTCCTCAGGCCTCTGCAGGTTGGGCCGGAAAGGGCTCCTGGCGCCCCATCCCACTGAGCCCCAAGAGTGAGGCAGGGTTTGGTTGTAACTGAATTAGGAATATTTTATTTCCTTAGAAAGCTTCTTACCAAGGAGAATTTAGAGCAGGATTGTCTGGTAGTCTATAGCCTCAAAGGGCTTTTAAATTGATGCAAAATTAAAGATTCAGTTCCTGGCTTGGACTAGCCACAATGGGACTCGCGGCTACAGAATATGCCACTCAGCTCGAGAACATTTTCGTGTTCCCTAAAAGCCCTGTTGAATGGCGCTGACTCTGGAAACCAGCCTTCCTGCTGAGCGTTCGGGTGTGTCTCACTATGAAAGTCCGCTTGTTGTCGGGGCTGTGAATCTACCCTAAAATTGTTTCTTGGACAGGTGAGAGTTAAATGTCAGCACGTTGTATGAGCTCGTATTCATTTGCGGAGCACCTCTTATCTCTAGAGGGATTCTGCCATCACAGCGGCCACCCTTCTGGGAATGCCCTGGAGATTATGCAGGGCACCCACACACAGAGCCCACTTCTAATCCTTCAAGCTGCCTGCCTGGTTGCAGACCCAGTTTCTGATCCTGCAGCGAGAACTCCTATGTCTGGTATGGGAGGCTGAGCAGTAAATAGGAATAGTATACAGCCTTGAAGGCGGACGAAACTGTAGACTCACTAGGGTGAGCATGCAAGTCCAGACCGGAGAGAATGGGCACCTCTCCTCACATAGCAAGATGCTGACCATAGGGAAAGACATTTGAACCACATATCTAGAAGATGGGTTCTTTAGGGAGAGTATAAAGAATGGGGAGAAGACCGGATGATGACACAGAACATTAGAAGTAAGAGAATCTGGATGATTGATAGGTTCTCTGGTTCTCTGGCAGAGAACAGGAAAGCAATTCTGTGGAGCAGATGAAACATATCTGAGGGACACAGGAAGGTACAAAAAAGATGGGTCGAGAAGATGCTCAAATGCTGGTCTCTAGAATTTGGAGGGAGCAAAGAGATATTCCAGTGGGTAGGATACTTGCCTTGCATGTGGCCTACCCAGATTTGATCCTCAGCACCATGTACGGTCCCTCGAACTCTGCCAGGATCCCTGAACATGGCTGGGTGTGATCCAAAAACACAACAGAAGAATTTGGATTTCACTGTAAAACTGTTAAGTCACATGATGTATTTCAGTAGAGCAAATAAGTTGTCAGTAGCCGTGTGGCGAGGTCCCTGTGGCTGTAAATCTCAGGATAGATTAGCATTGGCGGGGGGCTGTGTCCATACGGCTATGGATATGGGCTGGTAATTCCATAGCTCGGCTCGAGAAAATATGGTCTGGACATGACTGCAGTGACCACGGGCAGCAGAGGGGACAGCGGGATTGGGCGGTGGCAAGGAGGTGGGGTCAGTGGGACTTGCGAGTGTGGAAGATTAGCGGTGCCGCTCCGCAGTGGGCACGAATTCAGCTGGCCCGGGCGGTGGAGTCCAAGAAGAAAGGGCTAGAAGATCAGACCCAGCATGTCCCAGACAGGAAGAGGGAAGCGTTGAGCTGCTGCTCCCCATCACCAGGAGGGAAGCCCGCCCGCCGCTGGGAACCCAGGGTGGGTGTACAGTCCGTAATTGGCCCTGGTGTTCTCCTACCTTGCCTGTTCCCGTGTCACTCCCACTCCTCCAAAATGCCTCCGCTTTTCACAACTCCGGAGTGCAAGTGAGTTCCTGCTGTCACGAGAAGGCTTTCGCAGATGATGCATGGCCACCTCCTTTCCTGTCTCCAATAGGGAATCAGATTTATGATGCCGGTTTTCCTTAATCAGGCTGTTAATCAGACAGGGAGCTGGGTGAATTTGATTTAAAACAGATTGTAGCACCAGCCAGCGACTGCTCCTAGCCCTAGACCCCTTCCCATGCAGGGGAAGATGCCGCACACTTTCAGTGAGCCCTTGCTGCATTTCTGCCACATCTGGAAAATTTCCCTACCCAGAGTGCAGCAGGGAACAGATGGCAGTGGTTTCGTTTACAAAATGGTTGTTTGGGGGCCACAGCTGGCTATGCTCAGAGCTTATTCCTGGCACTGCTCAGGGATCATATGGGTGCCAGGCATTAAGCCCACATCAGTTGCATGCAAGTCACATGCCCTACCCACTGTACTGTCCCTCTGGACCTACAGTCTTCTTCCCCCACCCGCCCCCATACTGGGAGTGATGATGCTGTTAGGAATAACAACTAATGGGGCTGGAGTGATAGCGTAGTGGATAGGGCATTGTGCATGCTTTGTACACGGCTGACCCAGGTTCCATTCCCAGCATCCCATATGGTCCTCCGAGCACCGCCAGGAATAATTCCTGAGTGCAGAGCCAGGAATAACAGCTAACAGCTGCAGACCTTTCTTATGCTAATTCCTATCAGAAGTGCTGGTTAGGTTTTGTTGTGGTGGTTTTGCCCTCACCACCACCTTCTGGGACCTGTACTTACTTGCTATCCCTGTTCTACAAGTGCAGAGCATGAGATTCAGAAAAGTGAACACATGAGACCAACACAGCATAAAAAAACGAAGTTAGGATTATGCTCCAGATCACTGGCCTCTTTACATTGCCCCGACACTAAATTCCGTAGCTTTCTCGAATGTTTTTGGCTTTTTGGAATGTGTTCTGGAGCCGCAATCTGTCTTTCACCCTGGAGTCTCGCTGTCGATCCCGAGATGGCAGATTCTGGAAGGTTGGCTCCTCGGGAAGGTGCACATAGACCAAGAAGAAAGAGGCGATGGGGCCTGTTGGTCCCCTTAATGGGACATAACTTACTTGGTGTCAGTTTCAATTGCTGACTGAATGGTCCAGTGGTTTGGGGGATATTGGCAGGAATGTTTTCCTTGTCGCAGAGTGTGTGTCTAACGGGAACCTGGAAGAAGAATGGGGGTGTTTGTCCAGCTCTCTGACTCGCCCGCTGATAACTCGCAGGACGTGTGGAGTGCGCAGCTGTGGAGGAGGTGCGGCGGCCAGGGAGGCGGCCCGCGGAACAGAGAGCAGTTTGTTTACCCAGGGGTGGGATGCGGGCTGTGAGGGACGCTTCCCCGTCGGGCCGTGGAGCTGGAGTGGGGGCTGCTGGGCTCACCGCCAGCTCCCCACCACCGCCCGGGCGCCGCGGCGGGAGCCGGCATCGGACATTGGAAGAGAGGGTGTGTGTTCTCCCCAGGGGGAAGCGCCGATCTGGAGCAGATGCACGGGCCCTGCCTTAGCCAGGCTGAGGCCTGGCACTGCTGGCAGAGTGTCCAGCTGATAACCGCACACCTGCAGGCTCTGTGGTGCCGGCGCCAGCACGTGGGGCGAGAGGCGCTGATTAGAAGGGAGCGTGTTATCTCCGTGGGCTGCACTGCGCGGCCACCAGGCAGATGCCGACAGTGCAGCTGGCCTGCGTCTCCTCTCGTCGGCCCAGGCCTGTTCCATCCCCACCCTTGCCCCCCAAGTGGATTCTGAGGCAGTCTGGGGCTGAGGCCTTTGCTCCTGGGTCCATGGCCTGAAGGGGCACTTCTGGGCCTTCCAGCAGAGCCAGCAGAAGTTGGTCTTGGGTCCAGACTGAGTTGCTGTGGGAACACAGAGCTCCTGAGGATACCCGTGGTAGAAAGTGGCAGAATAGGGTCCGTAGCTTTTGCCAGGCACCAGTGAAAAACAATACATCTGGGCAAGAAGAGTTCCTCAGCTTTGCATGCGGGAGGCCGTGTTCAGTCCCCTCCAGAACTAGTCGCTGAGTAATCACTGAGCACCAGGCTGGGAATAACCACCAACCCCACCCCACCCCACCCCCCAAACTAAGAAAGGATTAGTGCAGTGAAGGAGGAGACAGCACCGTGCTGAGAGAGAAACACTCGCCTGAGAAAGCTCAGGCTGCAGCCTTGGACCCGCGACCCCCTGCTCGCTGTAGCCCCGGGGAAGGTGCCCTTCTGCTTCCTCATCCCCAGCGGATAACACTTATCTCACAGGTTACCAGGAGAGCAAAATGTGAGGGATCGGGGTTTGGGAGCAGGAAGTAGCCGGAACCTTTGTTTCCACATGTGAACACAGAGAGTTAGAATAACCATTTGTGGATATTTTGTGACAACCCAATGAAATAATATATGTAGAATATTTAAAAAGTGCTTGACAAGTAGCGCTCAGCCACTGGTTGGGTTTAACAAGGTAGCAGAAGCCCTGGGCTCAGCCCCACTTTTGGCCCTTGCCCCCTGGAACTGTGGGGGTCGGGCCTGCAGGCAGCTCCAGCTCCCCCGGGCTTGAGAAGCGCCAGTGAGTGCCCGGTGCCCTGTCAAAGCAGCAGGTTCCGGCCGCAGTGAGCGTGTGATGGAACCTACCCACAGAGGCCGCCGTGCCCTCTGCAGGGCCCCCGTCTGAACAGTTACCGACAGCAGCCCTGGGGTGACCGAGCTATACCTACACCCCAACTGCATCGCGCCTTGGACCATGTCGCAGCCCTTCCCTACTTTTTCTTCTTTCGTCACTCCCATTCTTCTCCCCTTTGCTTCATTTATGGTTGTTGTGGTAATGGGGGTCACACTCATGTTGGCTGTGGTGCTCGCACACTAGCAGTGGGGTGCTCGCTGGGGGTCAGGCACCAGGTCACAGAGCTTTGCTTGCACATACTCTCTGGGGAGCTCCCTCTTTAGCTGAGGCACATGAGTTATCAGTATGGTGTTGGCTGGGGGGAATCATCACAGGGTTCACACATTGCGTGCCAGGAATCACACTTCCTGTCAGGATCGCTCACACGTCTCTGTAGTAGCAGTGATGGCTGGGGATCGCAACCCTTTGTGGTAATCACACACCGGACATCACAGACAGCAGAGTTGCCCGGTTCAAACAGGAGAGTTGTCAGAGTCACATTCGGCACATGTGGCAGTACCAGGAGTTGAACTCATGACCGTATGCTCAATGGGCAAGCATTTTAAATCACTCAGCTCTTCTCCCCTGACCCTCGCTTTTATGAATTTCTGCTTCCACCTTAAACCTTCATCTCCTTTGTCTATCTCCACGTCTGGTGTGAAATATTCCTCACTGTGACCTAGAGTTTTAGTTGCCTGGCGATAACCTCGCCTTTGCCTGGAATTGGTCCTTCCCCCAAAGCTTAGTCCTGGTCCAAGGGAAGAGCACAGTCGGCTTTGTGATACCTGGATACCAAGGCTTGGGAGAGTCAGGGTGGGTTTCGGTTCCAGTCCTGCCACCAGCTGCGTGTTGGTGGACCAGTTCCTTCTCTCTTGGAATTCATTTTCCCATCCATACGGTGATGATCATCTCCCTCTCACTTAGCCCAGAGGGTTGAGAAGACGAGTGAGATTACAACACAGAATGGGGCTCACATGACACGGGTCTCCGTTGATGCTTTCCTCCCAGCCCCTCTGAAATCAGCAGTGCCTAGAAATATTTTTTACTTTGCAAAATCTCAGCCTTGCTGGAAATAGTGAACGTAAACAAACACAATCAGCAGCTTTTTCTGCGTTGTGGCAAAGGCGCGCAGAGTCACCATGGCAGCTGCCGTTGGGTCGGGGAAACTGCCACTCCACAGTAGTGTTATCTCAGTAATGTCTTAGTTTTCCACGTTTACATCTCCAACCTCCTTTGGCTCATTTTACCCCAGCAAGCAAGTGTTGTTATTTTGTAGAATGTTATTCATTTCCCATAGGAGGCTTCTGCCCTCCCCTCCCTGGTATCTGAGCCCACTCTCAGTAACCTGTGTCTCTTCCTCAGATTCAGTGATGAAGGAATGGAGGTGATCGAGCGGCTCATCTACCTGTATCACAAGTTCCATCAGCTGAAGGTCAGCAACGAGGAGTATGCGTGCATGAAAGCGATTAACTTCCTAAACCAAGGTGAGTGGCCGAAGAGTAGGAGAAAGGGGGGACAGTTTTGAATTTGCCTCTGGGGATCAAACCCGGGGCCTGATGCATAGCTGCAGAGCATAGGCTCTAGCCCTGGACTTTGTTTTCCCGTTAGTGTTTGCCTGCATGTCCTCCCAGCCCCGTTTTACCCTGAGACCCACACACAGAGTCTGTCGAGCCCTGTGGGACCAGTCTGGGAGGGCTTGTGCCTCCCTCACCACCATCTGACCCGCTTCTAGTTCAGGCAGTGCTTGGATTTTTTTATTTTTTCTTCTAACTCAAATGCCACAGTCTCTATAACTCAAAGAGGAAGGAAGAAGATTCGCTTTGTTTAGTCAGTTTTAATGCATTTAAACGCAGACACCAAGGACAGAACATGCGTCATTTAAAATATGCGCCGAGTTTTCCAGGGACTGAAGAAGAACAGGGTGATGAAACTGTTGGAGATAAGGCCTCAGTGACAGGCTGGCACTGAGCATTTCTGATGGCAGCATGGGGGTGCATAAAAACTGGCGTGTGTGGCCCTCAACTATGACTTTGGGGGTTTTTTCTGTTGTTTTTGGGTTTTGGGGGGGTGAGCCCCCCCCAGCTATACTCAGGCCTTACATCAAAGATCACTTGTGGCAGAGTTTGGGGTGCCACATGGGATGCCGGGGATCGAACCTGGGTTGACTGTGTATAAGGCAAGCATCCCACTGTATTGTCTCGCCAGCTGTAGAGATTCTTTCTTGTTGTTGTAGTTTATTGAGGGTACAGAGTTACCCAGCAGTGATCAGCAGGCCTGGTCCATTCGCAGTAATTCTTGACACTGGACTGGAGAGTTCCCTGCTGAGACTTGGTGATGGAGCATCACTAGGGCCCAGTAGTGCCGGGGGCCACCAGGGCTCCACCCAGCGGTGTTTGGGGTAATCTCAAACTCTTCATTCCCTGCATTAGCGTGGCCTTCTCCTCCTGGTCCTCCACTTGCTTTGTGCCATCCTTGCATTTATGTGTTATGCATGCCTTCCCTAGACCAAGTTCTGTTACAGACATTGAGGACCTTGAAATACATTAGATCCTATACCATGGCCTCAGAAACGTGTTCTGAGGACACTTGGCACATTAGTTGAGCCCCCATCTAGGGGGAGAAAAGTAGCAAATACTTGGAGGAGGAAGAAATCTGAGCTGGAGCTTACGGGCTGTGTAAGATTAACATAGATTGTGTGTGTGTGTGTGTGTGTGTGTATACATGTGTATAATGGGTGTGTGTATACACATATATGAGAAAAAAAGATTATAAAATCTGTATTTTATATATAGAAAAAAGTGGAGGGGGCTGGAGTGATAGTATAGCTGGTAGGGCGTTTGCCTTGCACATAGATCCGACCTGATTTCCGTTCCCAGCATCCCATATGGTCCCCTGAGCACCGCCAGGAGTAATTCCTGAGGCCAGAGCCAGGAGGAACCCCTGTGCATCGCCGGGTGTGACCCAAAAAGCAAAAAAAAAAAAAAGTGGAATGACAATATAGAAGACCAAAAGTACCCAAGAGATAATCTGTTCAAACATGAACGTGCTTACACTAGCAGCTTTTGTTTGGGTAAAATCTTTATTTTTGCTTTGGGGCCACACCTTGGCAGTCCAGAATCTGACCAGGGGTACCAACCACAGCCCCATGCTAGGAAAGTCGAAAAGTGCCTCAGCCTTTGTCCTCCCTCTCCCCAGCCGCCTCAGCATTTTTTGTAGTTGGCTCCAGTAGAGGATATAATTAAAACTATTGAAAAGGTTGATTTCGGAAAGGTAGATTTTTCATCCAGTTACTCAGTGCCTAGTGGAGCCTGTTTTTAGCCAGGCTCTGTGTAGGAAGTTGGTAGACCCAGACTGGCCCTAGAAGGCCCTGTCCGGTGATTGTCCTTTATGGCGTCTTCCTTCGTCGTCTTATTTTTCTGCCCTTATCCAGAGCATTGTGACTCCCTGTCTTAAAGGAAAGAGACACCAGTTTGTTTGTTGTTGTTGTTTTGTTTTGTTTCAAATGTAGGAGTGCTGCTATTTATTCGACCACTGATAAGCTCTGAGCTCCACATTACCTTTTTTTTAAAAACTTTTTATTGCATTTCCATCCATGAGACAGACCATTACAAAGCTGTTCATGATTGAGTTTCAGTCATACAATGATCCAACACCCCCCCCACCACCACCAATGTTCATTTCCAACCACCAATGTCCAAGTTTCTGTCCCACCATCCCCCAAAACCCCACCCCCAACAAAAGACACCCTTTGGACCAGTGTTCAGAAACCTACAACTGAAAGATGCGCGTTCTCCGGGAGGGGATTTCTTTTGAACTCTTACTCCCATTTCCGTTTGGTTGTTTTCTTTTGTTTGTTTGTTTGTTTGTTTTGTATCCTCCCACAGATATCAGGGGTTTGACGAGTGCCTCGCAGCTGGAACAGTTGAACAAGCGATATTGGTACATTTGCCAGGATTTTACTGAGTATAAATACACACATCAGCCGAACCGCTTTCCTGACCTCATGATGTGCTTACCTGAGATTCGGTATATTGCAGGTAATGTTCTGGGCCCTTGAATCCTACCCTTCCCTGTTTCCGTTAGCTGGGAAGATGAGGCACGCCGTGTGTTCGGTCAGTTCAGTATAACGTTTGTGTTTTCTCCATAAAGGAAGAGAACCTGACAGTAGTTTCCTGAGCTCCTGCACTCTGAAGGGAGCCTTGGATTTTTTTTTTTAATTTTTATTAGTGAAACACCATGAGGTACAGTTGTAGACTTACAAAATTTTTGTGCTTGGGTTTCAGTTATACAATGATCGAGTACCCATCCCTCCACCAGTGCCCATTTGAGCCTTGGATCTTTATGTCACTTAATCTCAGTATAGTCCCGAGTAATCCTTTGGCACTCAGTGTTTGGGGAAATGCCTCCGATTCTCTCACATTAACTTTTGTTTCAGAACTATCTCTCTGCCCCTAGAAGCCTTTCTTTTATTGTTGTTGCTGGATTTCATTTGGTAATGTGCCTAGTGTACACTGAGAAGCAGTGGATAGTACAGGGTTAAGGCACTTACCTTGCATGTGGCTGACTCTAGTTTGAATCCCCAGCAACACATAGTCCCCTGAGCACCATAGAGTGTGCCCAAACCCCACTCCCACCCCCGCCAAACTCCCAAGAGGGAAGAGAATAAATGTGACCTCTGGGCTGAGAATTGGGCCCATAAAATGCAGCAGTTGTTTTTGTTTTGTTTTGTTTTGTTTGTTATTTTTTTTTGCTTTTTGAGTCATACTTAGCAATGTCAGGGGTCACTCCTGGCTCTGTACCCAGGAATTACTCCTGGTGGTGCTTGGGGGACCATATGGGATGCCAGGAAATGAACCCTGGTCGGCTGCATGCAAGGCAAACACGCTACCCACTGAATTATCGCTCTGGCCCCAGTACAAAATTTTTTTAAGCTCTTCCCTTGTTTTTGATGACTGACAGACTGGCACACTTGGTGCTTGCATGTACTTGGTTGCATTGAACCAAAGATCACACACATTTTGTTGCGATACTGGAGTTGTGGTTGGTATATGGGGTGGTGCTGTGGATAAAACTCGCACATGGCCTCAGACTTGGAAGGCAGGCACTTTGCCACTGAATTCTCCCCAGACCCCAGCGATAAAATTAATGTTAATGAGAGAAGTTTTCAGTCTGACAAAGGTAGTTCTTGCTACTGCGGTGGCCTAAGATCACATATACACAGTTGGGACTTGATGGGGGTGGAACACAACGGTTGTCTGACAAAGGATTTTTCCCCCTGCTTTTAGACCACAGAGTAGTCTCGCAGATAGGAATTCTCCTTAAATTATTGGACTTTGAGGGGTGTTTTGATTATGTTCAGCATTTTCAGGACTGTTGTATATATGAGATATTGATCAGGTGCTCTGGGATGTAAGGGAAGTCAGTAATTATGCCTCACGTTCCTGGGCAGAGTTGGGGTCTCAATCCTGGCAGAACTTTTGAGTCACCTGAGAAACTTTAAAATAAAGTCTGTGAGCCAGAGATAGTCTGGCAGGTAAGGTACTTGTGTGGCCAGCCGGGGTTCAGTCTCCGACACCACAGACAGTTTCCTAAGCCCTGCCTGCCCGGAGTGATCCCTGAGCACAGAGCCAGGACGAAGTCCTGAGACGGTGGGTGTGGTCTCCAGATCAAAACAAAATCAGTAAAACTTGTGGACTCAAGGAGAGGACTCCAGGAGCTCAAGTGTCTGCTTTGCATTCAGAGCCCTAGGTTTGTCCCCAGCACCTTGTGGCCCACAGCCTATTCCCCGCCCCAGATGTGGTGCCAAAACAAAAACGAAAATCAACAACAAAAAAATCTGTTTGCTTGCATCTTCTCTGGATTGATTCCTGAGTATGAAACGGGGCCTGTGTCAGTATTCTTTTGAACTCCCCATGTCACCCTGAGGGACTACAGAGGGCGAAGCAGCCTCCAGTACCGACAGTCTCTCAGGATGCGGGATGCTCCAGGAAGTCTACTGGTGAAAAAGCGGGTACACGTCTTTGATTGATTTGGGGGCCACCTTCTGACTCTGCTCAGGGGTTTCTCCTGCTGGTGCTCAGAGAACTCTGTAGCTCCAGGGATCAAACCAAAGCCTCCTGCATGCGAAGCACACGCTCCAGCCGACTGAGCCATTTCTCTGGCCCCAGACATCTGTATGCCCTTTTCTGTTTGTTTTGGGGCCACACCCAGTTGTCCTCAGGGCTTACTCTTGGTTCTGGGCTCAGGGATCAAACCCAAGTTAGCCATCTGCAAGGCTATGAGATTAAGCAAGTTTACTTGCTATGTAATTTTTTTCGGCCCTCGTTCACCTTTTGTAACCCTAAATTTCTCAGCTTTTTTTTGTGTGTGTGTGTGGTTCACAAACACTCCTTTTCCCCGTAGTACTGCAGGTCCTCAGAATAACTGCCTTGCATTCAAAATTATTATATAAAATTATGTAATGGGGTGAGAGAGGGATCAGTTCCAAGGCCCTGACCAGTAACTGAAATATCCACCTTCTCCCCATGTCTTTGAGTTTCCTTCCTTCCGGTGCTTCGTCTCGTTCCATATCCCAAAGTCACTGACATGTCCCAGATGTGGAGGGGACGCGTTCTGCACTGAGTATCTAGGATAAGTTCAGCCACCATCCATCCTGAACGGGAGTCAGCTGACCGGAAATGAATATAGATTATTGTTTAATATTAGAAGTACATTAGGTCCTTGTTCAGAAGTTTGATTGAAGAGTTTTGTGTGTTTGGGGCCACACCTAGCAGTGCTCAAGGCTTACTCCTGGCCCTGTGATCAGGGGTCACCAGTGTGTCAAGAGACTTGATATATTTAGGGTTGAGCCAGGGTCAGCAGCTTGCAAGGTAAATGCCTTAAACCCTATGCTATCTCCATTCTCACCCAGCCCCCCCCCCCCCCCAGCTGAGTGATTTTTTTTTTTTTAAACCACAACTCCATAGGAATTTAACTCATCACTTGGCCTATGGTCAGTTGCTTTTGTTTGCAGTTTCCAGGAACCTGTCCATGGCAATTAAACTGGCAGTTTCCAGGAACTTATCAAAGGCATTAAATGAGAGCTTACTGAGAGCACATTAACAAAAATAATGTGGTGACTTATTATTAACATGTATTCTTTTGAGAAGCAATATTTTGTAGTATCCTAGTTAGAAAATGTATCACGTAGTTTAGTTCTAAAAGGGCATGTGGGGATACTTCTTAGTTCACATTCCTTGCCTGCAAAATGGGGGATAAAAATAATATCTATCAGGGCTGGAGCGATAGCACAGCGGGTAAGGTGCTTGCCTTGCACGCAGCCAACATGGCCGACACAGGTTCAATTCCCAGCATCCCATATGCTCCCCCAAGCACCGCCAGGAGCAATTCCTGAGTGCATGAGCCAGGAGTAACCCCTGAGCATCGCTGGGTGTGACCCAAAAAGAAAAAAATAATAATAATATCTATCACACAAAAATATTAATAGTTAAGTGAGATGCTGGTGGGACTGCAGGGGCAGCTCAGTAGCAAGGCATATGTCGGGCCCTGGGTCAGTGCCCAGAACCAATGAAAAGATAGAAAAAATGGGGGCTGGAGCGATAGCACAGCAGGTAGGGCGTTTGCCTTGCACACGGCCAACCTGGGTTCAATTCCCAGCATCCCGTATGGTCCCCCGAGCACCGCCAAGAGTAATTCCTGAGTGCAGAGTCAGGAGTAACCTCTGAGCATCGCTGGGTGCGACCCAAAAGGCAAAAAAAAAAAAAAATAGAAGACTAAAATGGAGCTGGAGCAATAGCACAGTGGGCAGGGCGTTTGCCTTTCACGTGGCCAACCTGGGTTCGATTTCCAACATTTCATATGGTCCCCTGAGCACCGCCAGGAGTAATTCCTGAGTGCAGAACCAGGAGTAACCCCTGTGCATCGCCAGGTGTGACCCAAAAGGCCAAAAAACAAAAAAAGACTAAAAGGGAGAAAGAAAATGTCTTGAAACGCTTGGCCCAGAGTGAGTACTGGTGAGTAGGGCGCCCTCATCTCCAGGCTCCCCTCCTGCCACTGCACGCTGCCGCTCACTCCTGCTCTCCGCCTCTGTTTCCAGGAAAGATGGTGAACGTGCCCCTGGAGCAGCTGCCCCTCCTCTTCAAGGTGGTGCTGCATTCCTGCAAGACAAGCGTGGGCAAGGAGTGAGCCGCCCGGGACGGGGGCGCGGAGCAGCCCGCCCCGTGGCTTCCGGAGCAAGAAGAGTTTGTTTGTTTGTTTGTTTGTTTGTTTTTTAACCTCATTTTTCTATATATTTATTTCACGACAGAGTTGAATGTATGGCCTTCCACACGATGCACAGGCTTTTGTGTGAATGCAGCCGATGCATTTCCTTGCAGTTTACAGAATGTGAAGATGTTTAATGTCACAGTGTTGTCATTGTTTAGAGATAGTTCTTTTCTGTTTTGAGGGAGCGGGTGGGAGGGGGCCGAGATGACTGTTTTCCGTAATGTCGATGAAGACAACTACCTCAGTGGAGAGGGCGGGGCGCGCCCGGCCCCGCTCCTGCCACCTGTTCTCTCTCAGCAGACACAGACATTTGTCTGTCCGAGAGCAAACTGCCTTTTTCTAGCCATAGCGTTGCCAGATGAAAAAGCACACCGTAAGCGGGCAGAGGCGGGAAGGCTCGGCCCTCTCTTCTCGCTTGGGAAGGCAGGGAAGTAGAGAGGTCAGCGCACGTCGGGGCCCTCATCCTTCACAGCTCCTTAGGGAGAAAGGGGTCCGGGCACGGCCACCAGGCTCTGCCACTGTCGACTTCCACCCGGGCACAGACCTGGCAATGAGCTAAACCCCCACGGGGCTCCTGCTGACTTAGCCCCTCTCCGGGCTGCTCACACTCCCAGCCTTTCTGAGGCCCCTTTGAAAAACTAAATGAGCAACGAACGGGCCTTCTCTGGATTCTGGGCCCGCTTCAGGCTTAGCCTCCGCTGGCCCTGCTTGCTTCAGCGGGAACTAGACCAGCTGAGAGAAGAAGCCCCCTGCCCTCCGGCCCCCCGCAGGCTTGTTCCAAACAGTGGATGGGACTCCTCTCCCGCCCGCTGGAAGCCTTGCCCCCGCTCTCTCCTGCTTCTCCTGATCCCTTCAGAACGAGACCCGGCTTCCTCGCAGCAGATGCCCGAGGTCCAGCATGGCCCTGCAGCCCCCGAGAGTCCGTGGTCTGACTGAGCAAGGTCCAGAGGGCTGAGATCCAAAGCACCTAAAGGGATGGGGGGGCTTTAAACTACCTCATGCTCCCGAGGGCCTGGCCTGCTCTTCTGCAGATGCGGCCTGGACCCTTTGTTCTCTCACTACCTGCCCCTCCTGGTCCCAGACAGTGTTCCTCACCCTCTTGGCTTTGGCCAGCAGCCACACTCCATTTCCCTTGGAGCTGTTGAAGGTGCGTTTCTCTCCTCTGCCTTACTCGGGCAATAGCTCCTGCCAATACTGTGGGCACAGCAGCCAGCCCACGTGGCTGGTGGCGTCTCTGGGTGGGCCGAAGGGGCTGACGGGCACCTCCTGTTTAGTCAAAGGCCATTTGCTCTCTCCCCAGCTCCACCTGGCAAGCTTCCCCACGGGGTCGCTCCCTGCCACACGTGCTGGGTTGTCTGTGTTGGATTGTAATCTTTTTTCCTTTCCGGTGAAATGTTACGGGTACCAGCAGAGTGGTGACTTGTCCAACCCTGACCTGTCTGAAACTCAGAGCGTTACCCCTCGGTGTCATTTGCCCAACCGCTCTGAGAAAGAAAAGAAAGACAAGAGAGGTTGCTCAGGAAAAGTTCCACCCAGAAATTTCCCACATGTCCATGGGAAGGTGTGTGTGTGTGTGTGTGTGTGTGTGTGTGATTGTGTGTGTGTGTGATTGTGTGTGTGTGTGATTGTGTGTGTATCTACGTATTTCTGAGTCCATGATACTTTTCTTTTTCCCTCAGTTTTGTTTTTTCTTTGTTTTCTGTTTTTTTTTTTTTTTTTACTTAATCAACAAGATCACATTCTCTGGCGACAGTTCAGACTTGAAGCTGCTTTCTCCGAGCTGGAGAGGAGGAACCGGTAGAGACCCCTTCTCCAGAGCAGCCTTCTTTGCGGCATCCTACTTTGCTTACTCTTCCATCTGGAAAATCCCCCATGACTTTTAAAAATTATTTCTCTCTTCGGTTAAGTATTGACTGGCTCTGGAGAGGAGTCAAAGGCAACTGCTCTCTGCTGGGACAAGATCCGTGTCTCTTCAGTAACACAGTAGTAGACAGAGCGAGTTGCTAATTTGTGGAGGGGGGGGTCGGCTCTGTAAGTTTCCATTGTACGCTTCCATTTTTACAAATGTTAGCAGTAGATTCCACAGAACAAAGAGCCCATTCATCTCCCAGCCCGCCGAGTCTCTGAGCCAAGCGGCCGGCCGTGTGTTCGAGCCGGTGCCTGACCTGGGGGCCGCCTTTCATGTCCTCTGCGCCCAGTCCATGTCCGACGTGGGCTTTTTAAAAACAGGGTAAAGTGAATGTGTTGCATTGCGAACTCAGGTATTGTGGGGAGAAGGTAGGCGTGTAGTTAGCAGCGTGGGGACCTTAGGTCGGCCACTAGATGTATTTGTGAGTCTGGTTTGAAGGACACAGAGAAAGGTTGGAGAGGGAGGTGTGCTTGACTTCACCTCCCTTCCCCAGAACGTTTGGTCAGCCAGCAGTAGCCTTTTGGCTAGTGGAAGAAGAAAAAAGTTTTCATGTTTTCCCTGATTCCTCTCTTCTGTCCTCTCTCTGATTTCCTGCCACCAACAGTTCTCACTGAGTGAGTTTTTCCACCACGGAAACGAGTGAGGCCCCTTAAAGCTGATTGTTAAAGGAGAATCCAGCTCCTCGCACAGTGCTCAGCTGAGCAGGCTTCCCCTCCTGCCCTTGAAACATTTTCTTGACCTAAAAGTGTGAAACCTTGGGACTGCACCTTCAGCTCCTGCTCTGTCTCCTTGATAGACTTCTCGAGCCTTTCACAAGGTTTGATGGTGTCTTGGCCTGCGTTTGGAGCCGTTCCCCAAGCCGTCTCATAGCTCCTCCTGGCTCAGAAGACACCTGCTCCGTAGAGCCAAAGGAGGGATGGAAGGAACCCTGGGGGCTTCCCCACCACCACCACTACCCTTGGTTTTGGTGTCATGCCCAGCGGTGCTAAGGAGACCCCCTGTGCAGGGCTGGGGATCAGACCAGGGTCGGCTTCATGCGAGGCAAGCGCCTTAACATTCTGTCCTTCCGGCGCCAAATCCCAGGGTCTTTGTGTTATCCCTGAAAGCTGCCTGCTCTACACTGACCTCCTCTGACCCACAACTCCTCCAGGAAAGTGACTACTGATGTGGCCAGTATGTCACCAGGCGGTAAAACCCAGACCTGGAGCTGCCGCCGCTCCACCATTTCCTACCTCAGTTCATGCATTCTTTGTTTCCTGGGGACGAGTCCATTGGAGGCAAACCCATAAACCCCGCACGAGCCACAGTGCCGGCCAGGTGAGAACTTAAACCCGGCTTCCAAGTCTTTGACTCTGGACCCCGATCTATCCCTTCTTCCTTGTTGCTTTTTTTAAAATTTTGCAATTGTTTTAAGAAATCTATTCTTTCAGACCAGCCCTTTTATTCAGCTTAAATTTTTCTCTATTGATTTTTTTAAGGTAAAAATCAAAAGGACAAAAAAAATCATAAATAATAAAAAACAAAAAAACCACTCCTCTTACTTTCCCCAGTTTGATCCATGAGAATCCCCTTGTCCTCCCCACTGCCTCGGCAGTGAAGTTTTCCTCTATCTTTCCTTGGCTTGAAGCATCTCTGTCCAGTGTCTGTGAAATGACGTTTTACCTGTCTCAGGATGAGAAGCGGCAATCATCCACCCGGTGCTGGATACTGGGCAGCCTTGAGGCAAGGGTTTCTAGGGCCACAGCTCAGGGATGTGTATTTAATTACAGGGTCCCCAGAAACCCCTCTCTTGGTTGCCATAAGCAACGGCCTCCCTCACGGGCTTGGGAGCCAGGCCTGGACTGTTTCCTCCGAGGCAGGAGCCCCAGAGAGCCCCCCAGCCTGGGAGGGGGCGGTCCCGCCAGCTCGGGGCCTACTGGCTCCCCTACAAGGGCCCCAGCCTGCTCCGAGCGCAAGACAAGCGTCGCGTCACTGGTGGAGGTGGCCCTGCCCGCCAGAGGCTCGTCTTTGCCCTTTGGTGACTGTTGTTTGCTTTCTCTGAAATGTCTTGTAATAGGTGATGTTGTTGTTGACTCAAATTTCCCTGAAAAAGAAAAAAAAAACTACCTCTTGAATGACATCTTGGCCGATTCCTCTCTGCAGAGTGCTGTGGGAAAAGAATGGAGCTCCTGCTCTGTTTACATGTTTCTGCTGAAAAAGAAACTCTGCCCGCCTGCCTTGGTGTGTTGGTGTTTTTGTCTGTGTTGCCATCCCAGGCCCGCGATAGCAACTTGTGGCTGCCTTGTGGTGTCTGGGCCGTGTCTGGGAGTCCCTCCCGCCCGCCCAGCCAGGAACTGGCCACCGTCGTGAAGAGGCCTCCGTTTCCTTCCTGTACCCAAGACCCGGGGAGGACCCACTCCCCACCACGGCAGCACACGTGTCCAGGAGCCCAGCCCCAAGCTACCTGCCCGCAGCCCACCTGCCCGCAGTCCGCTGTAGGAATCGAGCGAACGGATGTCTCTGAGCCCTTGTCCCCACAGGGCCAGCCAAGGGCTGCCTGCCCGCCTGGCTCCATCAACCCTGCATGACCAAATAAAGGCCAGTTGGTGGGCCCAGCAGGTGACCCAGGCCCTCTGCTGCCTCCCGCCCTGCCAGCTGCCGGGGCGGGGCCCTTCCTGTGAATTGACTACCTGTGGAAATGTGACCAGTTAGTGTGAAATGCATGTTTAGCAAGTGTTAGGTACTGTATCTGAACCAATAAATGTGAATCCTTCTGCACATGGCATCTGTGAAGTTTGTTCGGAGCCCTGGGGGTGGGAGTCACAGTGTCCCTCAGCCGGTTCATGCCTTTAGGCCTGTGGCCACTGCTTGCATTCAGAGCCGCCCTGGCCCCATTGCCTACACTGACAAGCGCCTGTCCTAGGCGCCTGGCGCTGGGTGAGCCCACTCACTCACTCGATCTCCTCGTGCTTCAGAGTTCATGCCCGCTTTCTATGTGAGGAAACTAGGGGCAAGTACTGCATCCAAGGTTTCCTTAAGGAGAGCAGTGGGTGGGGTCACACGCGCGGCCTGCGGTGAGGACACAAGTGGGGGCAGGGGGTCTAGCACAGGGTTCTCAACCTCTTACCTGGGGACCAGAGTTGCTCTGGGGACCCACCAGTTGAAAACCACCCATCTGCGGCCAGAGCGATAGTACTTGTCTCGCATGCGGCGAACCCGGGTTCCATCCCCGCCATCCCGGGATCCCTGAGAGCA